GAGACCGACAGAGCAAAGACACGGATTTGTCCAGGAAGACAACTCTTTCTAAAGATGGGAGTCTCTTTGAAGGGCTCACACCCTCATACAGAGTCTGGCTCACGGAGCTGGCCAGTGCCTCGAGTGCACAGAAAATAAACTTCTTTGAATGTAATAACTGCTTTGGGATTTCCATCATCTCCTTTCAGGAAACTATTTTCCATAGTTTGCTCTGTCTCCCCAAAGACGTCTTAAATGGGCCTGGTTTCCTCCATGCATCTTCACTTCAGCACCATGGAATGCTGTGGAATTTTACAAATGAGTCGTATCAAGTCTCTCTGCGTATAAATGGCGATGGGAAAAAATAACATAGATTTTAATTGTAACTAGTGATAAAAATCTAGGGATTTGAGGCTTCTCAGGAACACTGGGAAGTTAAGCAAATACCAAGGTGGACAGCCATCGAGAGAGAGAGAGAAAGAGAGAGAGAGAGAGAGAGAGAGAGAGAGAGAGAGAGAGAGAGAGAGAGAGAGAGAGAGAGAGAGAGAGAGAGAGAGAGAGAGAGAGAGAGGAGGGAGAGAAGGGAGGGAAATGAAGGGGAGAAGATAGAAGAGAGGAGAGAGAGAGATAGAGAGAGAGAAGGGAGGGGAGGGATGGAAAAAGAGGAGAGAGAGAGAAGAGAGGAGAGAGAGAGAGAGAAAGAGAGAGAGAGAGAGAGAGGAGAGAGAGAAGAGAGAAGGAGGGAAGAGAGGGAGGGAGGAAGGGAGAGAGAGAGAGAGAGAGAGGAGAGAGAGAAGAGGAGAAAGAGAGAGAGAGAGAGAGGAGAGAAGAGAGAGAGAGAGAGAAAGAGGGGGAGAGAGGGAGGGAGGAAGGGAGGAGAAAGAGGAGAGAGAGAGAGAGAGAGAAGGAGGGGGAGAGAGGGAGGGAGGAAGGGAGAGAGAGAGAGAGAGAGAGAGAGAGAGAGAGAGAGAGAGGAAGGGAGGGAGGGAGGGAAAAAGAGAGAGAGAGAGAGAAGGAGGGAGGGAGGGAGGGAGGGACAAGGACAAATTAAAAGATTAAATCTCTTTGAAGCTGGTTTGGCTCAGAACCTGCAGACTGAAAGGTCCCAGGTTCGGTTCTGGTCAAGGGCACATACTTTGGTTGAGGGAGGGAAGGAGGGAGAGGGAAGGAGGGAGGGAGGGAGGGAGAGGGAAGGAGGGAGGGAGGGAGGGAGGGAGGGAGGGAGGGAGAGAGAGAGAGAGAGAGAGAGAGATCTAACTCTAAAGGCGTGAAGAACATTCCCATTGTTATCCCCCAGCTGGCCTTCCCCTAAGAACCCCCTGGCAACCCCACTCCCTCCTGCCTCCCTCTCAGGCCTTCGGTCCTCTCCCTCATTTCCCCAACACCCCTCTCCGCTAGTCATTCATACAGTCTTTCAGTCAACAGTTACTTTTTGAGTGTCTACTACATGTTTAGCACCATGGCAGCAAACACCGACAAGACCAGCCAGGTCCCTGGCCTGACTGCGTTCAGAGTACAGTAGGTACATAGACAGGATGCTATGATAAGATGGCCAGGAAGGAAGGCCTCTTTGAGAGGTGAGTTTTAGGCTCAATATTGGAAGTTTTAAGCTAAACCCATCAGGTGAGCTGAAACTGGTGTGGCTCAGTGGATAGAGCATCAATCTGTGGACTGAAAGGTCCCAGGTTTGATTCCGGTCAAGGGCATGTACCTTGATTGCGGGCACATCCCGAGTAGGAGGTGTACAAGAGGCAGCTGATCAATGTTTCTCTCTTATTGATGTTTCTAACTCTCTATCCCTCTCTCTTCTTCTCTGTAAAAAATCAATAAAATATATTTTTAAAAAACTACACGTTGATTTACACAAACAACCAACCAAACAAAAAACCCATCAGGTGACCAGTCAGGGTTGGTGTTCCAGGGAGATGAGTCAGCAGGCGCAGTGGCCGGAGGCAGGAAAGGGCTCCTTCGGGTTAAGAGCTGGAGGTGGTCGCTGAGCAGGAGAGGCGGTGGGAGGAGAGCCAGAGGCTGAGCAGGGTCATTGGTGCTCCCCAGACCGTGGTGGGCAGAGTGGGTTTTGTCTAAGAGTAGTGGGAAGCCTTCGGAAGTTTTAAGCAGATGCCTTGATGATAGATAGTGTGTGCTGCCAGGTGGAGAATGGACTAAGCATGGAGGGAGGCGTGGGAAAATGGAGAGCCATTCAGAGACCAGCAGTGTTCTAAGCGTTAGAAATAGAGAGGCAAGCTCATTAGGATGGGTGACTAAGAGGTCTGGGGGTCCCAGATAGTAGGACAAGCAGACCAGGGTCCCTGGGTTACAGAGCAGCAAGAAGCTAAGACAATTTCAGGACAAGCGGAACAGGGAATAGGGGAACTAAGACAGTGAAAGTGTGCAGCTGCCTAGTAAGTCCCATCTTCCCCAGCTAAGGACACTTAAGAGTAAATGGCTTGCACTTCTCCCCAACCAGAGGGTAAGTATCTTAAATCGCCCTATGCAGGGAGACAGATAACAGAAATCCAGTTAGTGCCATGTGCCAACCACGCCCAAGGACAAATTAAAAGATTAAATCTCTTTGAAGCTGGTTTGGCCCAGAACCTGCAGACTGAAAGGTCCCAGGTTCGATTCTGGTCAAGGGCACATACTTTGGTTGTGGGCACCTTCCCAGTAGGAGGTGTGCAGGAGGCAGCTGATTGATGTTTCTCTCTCATCGATATTTCTAACTTTCTATTCCTCTCTGTAAAAAATCAATAAAACATATTTAAAAAAAAAAAAAAGATTAAATCTCATTTTGGTGCATCAGCATACAGCTGATGAATATTCTATGGATCCTCCCCTAAGACCTCCCCTCAATGCCCAGCCTGTAAAACCCCTGCAAAGGAAGGATCCCTGCAGAAAGCACACTCCTGCTCCTCCCCCCACAGGCAGGTAACCCCTAACCTCTAAGGGACCCCGGAGACTTGTAACCAAGGGAACAGCAGGCAGCTGGCAGCTGCCCTGAGCTAATCCCCTCACCCTGTCTGCAAGGCCCCTTTCCCAGCGGTGCCCCGTGCACCAACCCCCCACCTGACTTCCCAGCGGGCCACAGAGCCTGGGCTCTCCTGCTGCGTCCTCTCTGACCGTCCTGGTTTTACTGTCCTGCGTGTGTTTTTGCTGTGATCCATACATTTCTTTTTTATTGATTTTTTACAGAGAGGAAGGGAGAGAGAGAGCTAGAAACGTGGATGAGAGAGAAACATCGACCAGCTGCCTCTTGCACACCCCCTACCGGGGATGTGCCCGCAACCAACGTACATGCCCTTGACCGGAATCGAACCTGGGACCCTTCAGTACGCAGACCCACGCTCTACCACTGAGCCAAACCGGTTTCGGCTGATCCATACATTCTTGTTTGCTTTTCTACGTGTTGTCTATTGATTGAAACTTTTCCTTCAAGAAAACAAGAACTAAGATCTCCTGGTCTCGCCCGTAACACCTGAGTGTGGGGCCTGGAGTGTAAGGAGGAAACGAAACCCCAGCACTTCTCCTCCTGGAGGGCTGCTTCCCTCCCAGGGAGTTCCAGCTTCCTGATTCTGGGCCCCTGTGATAATGGAACCCGGGAGGAAAGTGGGGGACACAGTATTGGGGAGGCTTGCTTTTCCCATCTTGGGGCCATCATGTCGGCCTCTGTGGGGGCAGACGTGGGGATGAGAGTTTCTGCTCCAGCTCTGAAGCACCTCTGTACCAGGGGGAATGGAGTGAGCCAGTGGCTCCCCAACCTCACTCAGACACTCTGCTTCCTCCTTCCCACCGCAGGCCTCCTGCTAGGTACGAACTCTTTCTGGCGGGGCCATCCCTGCCTCCACCACTCACTCAGGCTTTTGTAGGGGAAGTCAACGGAGTGGACTCTGCTGAATGGAACAGCTCCCTCTGGGCTGAGGGCTGGGGGGCCGAGGGGTAGGAGCAGAGCTCCTTCTATCACAGGGGAGAGAAAGTTATGAATTAAGTCCTGCCACATGCCCAGGAAGACCCTGCCCAGAGCAGTGGGCAAGGGCAGCCTAGGCCACCCATCTTCCCACAGTCCCTCTTCCCCACCCGATTGCCGATTGCCCTGTGCACCAACCCCCCACCTGCCTCCAGGACAAGCCCACCAGCTGCCATCTTTTCAACCCCCACTCTGCTGATGGCTTCACAGGGATCATATCGCTCATTATCCGTACCCTCTCCTGGGAGAGGCATATTATCCTAATTTCGCATTAGAGCACAGGTCTACAGGTTTTGGGAAATCCAAGTCCACCCCAAAAGCAGAGTCTAAGACCTTAAACTGCCTCTTCCTGGCAAACTGGGCCTGAAGCAAAAGGAATGGATTTAAAACATAAAAGCAAACAAACACAAAAACTCGAATGAATGAAGAGGCTTGTGGAAGCTGGGGGAGGGGCACATTAAAACCAGCCGGGGCTTTGTCCAACAGCGCATCCTCCAGAGGCGGCAGGTCAGAGCTCTGGTCAGGGCACATACAGAAGTAACCCATGAATACATCAATAAGTGGGACAACAAATCAATGTCTCTTTCTCTCTAAAAAGATCAATCAACCAATTAAAAACAAAACAAAACAAAACAAAACAATCCAGGTAGGGCCCAAGCCTTACCCAGGCGCGGCCGCTCTCACAGGGGCCCAGTTGAAGGGGGGAACGGGGACGGGGGCAGCCTGGGGTAGGTGTGAGGAACACAAGGAAGGTCCCTGGTCGGCCCCCAAGGCAGGCAGGCAGGCGCCCGGCCCCCTCCGTGCCCAGGGCCCACAGGTTCTAGTCCTGAGGAAGGTGTCCAGCAGAGAGCAGGTGAAACCCGGCTCACCGCATTCCGGACCGTCATCGGGCGCTCAGTGAATGTGGACAAACAGATGCCTCTTGTCTTGGCCAAACTGTCCGCATCCTCACGGCCACCCCCACATGGCTCCGGGGGCGGTCCTCCGCACCCGCCGCGCGGCTGGGAAGCTAATCAGCCCCCGCAGGACCGCGGGGCGCGGAGCCGCCCGGGCGGGGCCGGGGGCGGGGCGGGGCGGGGGCCGGGCTGCGCCGGGAAAACTCCGGCTGCGGGCGCGCGGGCAGGGGCCGAGGCCGGGGCGCCGATGCTGCAGGTTCACATCCCGTCCGCGGGCCCGGAGGCCGGGGCGCCCCGGCAGAGCCCGGAGAAGAGCCACATGGTGAGTGGGCGCCATGGGCTGCAGGGAGCGCGGGGACCCGCCGCCGGTGCCGAGCGCCATGGGGATCCCGCGCCCCGGGCTGGGCGGTCCTGGAGCGGCGTCCGCACCGTCGGGGGGCCGCCTGCCGTCGGCCGCGGGGCGCTGGGGTGTGTCGGCCCCGAGGACGGCGGTGCGGACCCACGAGGAGCAGAGGGTGCGGACCGCGCGCGGGCCCCCGGGGGCGGCGGCTCTCCGGGGCCGCTCTGCGCCCGTGAGCGCGGGGGGGTGGAGGGGTGCCGGGCGGGGGCCTCACGCACCGGCTCGCTCCCGCCGCAGGTGTTCCGGGTGGAGGTGCGGTTCCGCGGGCGCAGACACACCGTGCCGCGGCGCTACAGCGAGTTCCACGCGCTGCACAAGCGGGTGAGGCGGCCGCGCCGACGGACGGACCCCTGCCCGCTCCTGCCCGCTCCTGCCCGGCCCCTGGGAGGCTGCGCCCGCCTCTGCCACCCGTTACCCTCCATCCCCCTCCATCCCCCAGGGGGCTCGGGTCCTGGGCACTGACCTCCCGGCGGGCTGCGGAGGGACCCGGAGGGACAGGTCTCAGCCGGGACTGCCCATGCCCCTGCGCCCTCTCTCTAGCCCCCTGTCCCAACCACATTCACCCGCATCCGTCCGAGGGTGGAGCCTGAGGTTTTGGGGATATGGATGGGGTGGGGAGCCCGGGAGGGCTTTTGCTGGGGCGAAGGGAGCTTAAGGGCGCAGCGGGGACACTGATCACACCGCAGATCAAGAAACTGTACAAGGTGCCCGAATTCCCCTCGAAACGCCTGCCCAACTGGAGGAGCAGAGGCCTGGAGCAGCGGCGGCAGGGCTTGGAGGCCTACATCCAGGTGGGCATGGGTCTCCCTGTCGCCCCCAGCCCGCTGGAGGTGTGGCCCAGAGACGTGTGAGGGCCTGGGATGCGGGGGGACGCACGTCTTGGGCATGATTTTTTTCTACCCCAGGCCTCAATTTTCTTAGTAGATTCAGAATGAAAATGAATTGATTTCAGTTGGGTTTGGACTTTCATTGAACTGGGGTCACCTGCTGCTAGTTCCTCTCCCCTCCTGGGTGAGACCCTGCATTGCCCTCATGAGGAGGAGGTGGGGCTGCGACCTTTCCCTCTCCCCGCACACGGATGACAGATGCCGGGCACATCCCTGTGGAGTCACCCAGGCCCGGTGTGCAGAGGGCCCTGAGCTTGGCTTAAACCCTGGTGGTCGGTCTTGAACTTTGTAATCGTTTTGGCAGGACTCCCGTGTTCGGTTTGCACTGGGCTGTGTCTGACGGGTGTCCCGTGTGCTCCTCTCCAGGGCATCTTGTACCTGAACCGGGATGTGCCCAAGGAGCTGCTGGAGTTCCTGAGCCTCCGGCACTTCCCCACAGACCCCAAGGCCGGCAGCTGGGAGTGAGTGAGCGCCTCCAGGGGTGCTGGGGGGGGAAGGGGCTCCCTGCAGCAAGCAGTGAAGATTTTAGGGGCTCACATCTGCCAGGCCTTGAGACATGACCCCCTTCATCTGTCAGCTTTCTTGACCCGGGCGGGGGCGTTTTCCATAGAGCCTTGGTTACCCACCGGAACTGAGCTTGTTACAAATAGAAGCAGTGGCCCCCTGGGAGGTGAGGCTCTGGTCTTCCGTTGCTCCACCCCTTCCTCAAGCTCCCCTGCACATCCCCAGGCAGTTCACACTCTTTCTTCTTTTCAGAGCCCTGGGGGAGCTCCTGCCTAGTGACAGCAGGCAAGTTAGACTCTTCCCGCACCCGCTGCCCCCTGGTGGCCATAGGCGGGAAGGCTGGTCTGCGGCCCCTGGCTTGCCCTGCCCATCCTACTGATCGAGGTCTTTCTGTGGGCGCTCCCGACACCACTGCCCACTCACCGATTTCCTTGTGATCGTTAGTGATCTCAATTCCCGGTCTTGATCCAACAGAAGACTCTGCCCACCTCACTCCCCACTGCTCAAAACCCTTTCTCCTCCTAGCACACAGCTGTACCACCGGCCTGTCATCAGCTTCCGCGTGGACCCCTACATTTCTCTCTCATCCCCAGGTGAGAGGTGCCTCTGGATTTAGGGCTCAGGAATCAGGGGGGAAGTGGGGTGAGCTTGCCATTTCTCAGGTCCAGGGACTGCTGGGCAGCAGCTCCCTCCTACTGCCCTTCTCCCGGACCATGCCTGCCCTGCTGCTGCTGTGCCTCCGGCCTGCTGTGCCTTCCCCTCCAGAAGCAGTCAGGGCTTGGGGGCCTATATGCAGGTGGGCATGGGATGTGCCCAGAAGCAGACTTGGCGCAGCAGATGTGGCTCCCTGGTCTGCATTCCCCACCAGCTGGCTAATGTGAACAGAATGTGAACGGGGAACGCCCAGGTCTCATTTCAGGTGACCAGCCGTTACCCGCTGCCTTGTCAGGGGCCGTGCCACACCTGTTCCCCTTCCCCGTTTCCTTGTCCCAGAGCCTCTGCCCAACGTGGTGGTGAGTGGCGTGCTCCAGGGCTTCTACAGCTTCAGCACCGGCCCCGCTGACGCCCAGCCGGAGGGTCCCGGGCGCCCTGCGCCTTCGCCGCCAATGCCCTGACCAACCCAGAGGCCTCTGGAGCGCCTGCCCGCAGTCACGTGCCTGTCACTGCACCCTGAGACAGGGGCGGGTCCCCCTGGCTTGGACCCAGGACCTACCCACCCCAGGCCCAGAACCCAACTGCACCATGTCTGGGGTGCTAGACCTGCACTCCGGGCAGGGACAACCAGAGGAGGAAAAGGGAGAGTTCATTTAGGAGGTAGGCTCTGAAAAGGTACAGGTGTATTTCTTCACCTTTGGGGGGAGGGAGGGAGCAAGCAAAGGCTGAGGCGTAGTAGCTGGCAAAGTTGAGAAGCAAAAGCTCGACAGTTTGTGGGTAGCATCTGGGGAAAGGGTTCAGGTTGGAGCCCAAGGAGGGTCAAGCAGCCACTGGCTCAGGAGTCCCAGACAGGCCGGGCCATGGACTTGAACAGAGAAGTTGCGGGCCCAAGAACCCACACACTGGTTATAAAAAACCCACCTTTTTTTTTAATTGGTCAGCGTTGGTAGAAGTTTGTTACAAAACTGGGCCTATGGAATGTGAGGGCGGGTCCGCTCTGCCAGACACGGGCACTAGGGCTGGTGCAGCGCAGAGCCCTGCGGAGGGCTGTCTTCGCCCCCGAGAGGGCAGCAGGCCCAAACACGTCGCTCAAGAGGGAACTGTCCTGGGGCCCTACTCCTTGGCGATGGCAAAGGGCTTCTCCACCTCGATCTTGCCACAGTCTGCAATGATCACGTCCTTCAGGGGCTTGTCCCGACCATCCGTCTTGGTGCTCTCCACCTTCCGCACCACTTCCTGGAGAAAGGGAGGAAGCAACAAGGCAGGGCGGGTCAGGAGATCGGCCACTCAAGGGAGACAGACCCTAGGGCATGGCCAGGGAGGACTGAGACTCGCAAACAGCGTACAAACCTCAAGGCACTGATATCCTAGCCTCTTGGTCAGGGAGAACCCGGTTCTGACAGAGGAAGCAGGCAATCTGATCCTCTGAAGTAAGACCCAGGCTGGGCGGAGGGGCTGGGGAGTGGATACCAAGGGCCCTGTACACCTCCGGTGGTGCCGGGTGATGGAATGAGGTTATACCCTACAGTGGTACCTCCACGAGGCCTGGCTGGCCTGTGCCTAGGGCCTAGAAAGGTCCAGGACTTGGGAGCAGAGAGGCAGCTAGTCTTACGTCCCCCAGGCTTACAGGCAGGAACACTGGTCCGCAGGGATAAAATACAGGCTGCCCTGGCCCCAGTATCCCATCCCTGGTGAGTTGCCCATGGTTAGCCCCCATCTCCATAACTCACCATGCCCTCTAGAACTTTGCCGAACACTACGTGCTTGCCATCCAGCCAGGATGTCTTGACGGTGGTGATGAAGAACTGGGAGCCATTGGTGTCTTTGCCGGCATTGGCCATGCTCACCCAGCCGGGCCCATAGTGTTTCAGCTTGAAGTTCTCATCGGGGAAGCGTTCACCGTAGATGCTCTTACCTGGGGAGAAAGACAGTGTAGGTCAGGGGACCCGAGTTGGCACAAACTTGGCAGATCTTTGGGGCCTCAAGCTGTCCTGTGTGAAGCCAAGCTCAAGCAGAGCACAGCGGTGCTAAGAGCTGTCTTCTTCCTGCCCTCCGGCCTCTGGAGCTAAACCGTGCTGACAGACCAGGTGGGGCACGAGGCCAGGCTGTTAGGAAACAGCCCACATGAATGATTACTCGAGAATGTGGTTTACGGCTTTTAAATAAGGCCCATATTAACACCCAGCCGAGGCTGCATGGAGGCCCTGGCGGAGGCAGACTGCAGAATGCAGGCGCAGGAGAGGCAAGAACCCCAGGAGAGGAGGAATGTCGTGGCTGACTAGCTTCTTCCCGAGAGCACAAAAGACACGGGAGGAGCTGCTATTTGGATTCTGTGAAGTCTAGAGCAAGCATGTCAAACTCAAAGGCTAACACGGGCCAAATAAGGTTTAAGTTTATGTGAGCCACAAAAAAACAAGTTTCATTTTTCATAGGAACGTAGGTTTATTTCGAAAAGTATGATATAAAAGTAAAGAAAGAGAGCAATGATACAATGTTTTCCTCCTGACAATTGGCATCTCTTCTCTGCTGCTCTCCTCCTTCGGGGGAAATCTTGTTCACAGTGAGGACTTCCAGCACTGACCCACGGTGAGTGTTGGTGATTCTGTATCCAGCAGGAGACTGAAGTTTCCTAATTCTAAATGACTGCTCACACCGTTCTACTGGCTGGGCCACATGCCAGTTTGACATGCTTGGCCTAGAGCCTCTTACCCACCAATGAACAGAAGAAAAAAGGTGGCGATGAATGTGTGTTGTGTCCCGCCATAAGGGCCAGGGGACATGGAAATGGAGCCGAGAGCAGACAGTTTCAGCAATCCTGAGCTACAGGAGAAATACTACCTCTTTTCCCATCTCCTAGGGGCTCCCACTGTGAACCAGAGGCCCCCAAGAAACCCAGCAATAAAGTAATTTTCACCGTTTTACTCAACACTTTTCAGAGTTGGTTTTTTCTTCTTCTTCTTTTAATACAACTATTTTCACCCTGTGGTTCCTCAGAACGGAGCCAGGTGGGGAAATTTCTGATGCTAATTAGGGAGATCCTCTGTGTAACACAGCATGTCACACTCCGCCGACGGGCTGCACGTTTGACATGCTTGGGTAACAAGTTGGAAAAGACTGAAAAGCAGGAATCCAGCCTGGTGGGTGGGGGTGGGCATGTCCCAGCCTGTGCCCCACTGCTCAGGCCCACACCCGGATGACTGGTCTCTCCCACCGCTGGGCCATGACTGCTGGCTGGGCTGCCAGCTAAGAGCCTCCCCCCCGTGAGACTCCTGTAAATCAGGATTTCAATCGCTGCTGCTATCCAGGCGATCCACACCCCCTGCTCCAATCCTTTCCCAATAGACGAGGAGTTCCAAACTTAAAGGGACAGTTCTGCGAGTTAACCTCAACTTAGTCATCTCTCCCTCTGGACATCAGTTAACTTATTTGCCAACTTTTCCTCGGCTTACTGTTGTCCTTCCTCCCCTCCCCCATCATTTGTTCATTCTTTCTTACCACGCCTGCTGCTCCCGTGGCAAAAATGGCTACTGCGCAGGGTGGTGAGTAACCACGCCAGAGAACTGTTGCAAGCATTTTGCACATAAAAACCCACTCCGTTAAGGCAGGATCCAATAACCGTATTTCATTGAGGCACAGAGAGGGTGAAGGTGCCCAAGCTAGGAAGCAGCAGAGCTGCAACTCAAACCAAAGGGGGCCTGGCCCTGGAATCTCTGCCCTTGCCCATAAGGCCATCCTGCCTGGGTTCCGGCCACACAGGCACAGCTATGCCAGCCCCTGACCAGCCTGGTCCTGCCGCCATGTTACTTTCCTCAAACTCCTCTGAGAGCGGGGCCCCCCTCTCCCTCCCAGGGTTTGAGCAGAGCCTCTAGGTTCTCGGCTTCATTCCTGACCCCTCCTCTGGCAAAGTGCCGAGCACAGCTGGGCCCACAACTTAATCGTGCCTCTTCTCTGCTCAGATCTTTCCTCATATCCACAAGGCCATTTCCCAATAACCTTGGCCCCAAGTGACCCCCTCCCTGCAGGCTTGGCACCTGCCAGCACTCTGGCAATGGCTGACTGTACTTACCACATCCTGGGAACTTACACTCAAGATCTCACCCAACCCTCCCAGCCCCCAAACTGTAAAGTAAGGGTGGTAAGAGGTAAGAGACTGCAACTCAAACCACAGGGGGACTCCCTCCTCCTAGCCCCCCATAACTCTCACCACCCTTACTTTTACACAAGAGAAAACGAAAGCTCAACCACTCACTCGTAAGGCTGAAACGCAAGAAGGTGGCAGACACCGGGTCACACCCGACTGCATCTGATTCCAACCACATCACTGTGGATTGTGTCTGCTTGGCCATCTCCCCCACTGCTGTCTGCTGCTAGCTACCATTACATCTTGTATTGTTTGCATGGCTTGCCTGCCCAGGCTTTCTCCTCCTCCTTTCCACTGAGGTGCTAACTCAAGGGCAGAGCCTGAGTCCTAAAGGCCAGAATGGGGCCGATTTGTGAGTTTCCAGGTCCTGGAAGTGAAAGGGAATGCTGCCACACTGATTTTTGCGTCCTCGGCACCCACAGAGCCTGGCCCAATAGACACTCGTTGATGGGGGGAGCTGCAGACGCAGCCTGAGGGAACACGGCTCTCCACCCACCTGTGGGTTAGGCGGCGTGTCTGTCCTGTTCACAGTAATGCAGAAAGACTCAGCTCTTGGCAAAGGATCTCTGGGAGGAGACTGCCAAGGAAGGCAACTCTGCCCACCCTCTCGCTGGGTGCCCACAGAGGCTTTGCATGCCTGACCTAGAATCACCTACTCGTGTTTGACTTTGCTCCCCTCCCGCCACGAGGTACCGTGAGAAGTCACCAAGGCTGTGGGCCTAGACCAGCAAGTCTACCAATTATGTCCACCTGAGCCCCGTTACTCCCTCTTCTTTGTACTGGGTTCCCTGCCCCGCTGGCCTCCGTGCAGGTGACAGGCCTGCTGGAGCCGGGAAGGGAGGGGCCTTGTGTGGGAGGATGCCCTGAGAGCCCTCTGCCCGCAGGACCCGGTTACCTCCGGTGCCATCTCCCCGAGTGAAGTCTCCGCCCTGGATCATGAAGTCCTTGATCACACGATGGAATTTGCTGTCTTTGAAGCCAAATCCTTTCTAGGAAAGGGGATGAGAAGGTGAGGAGGTGGCACGAGGCACCAGGCAGACATGAAACAGACCCTGCAGGAACCCAGCCCACACGATCGCTGCTCACAGAAGACGCATCCCTGCGGCCAGCCACCGTCCAGCGGCTGCGGAGCCAGCAGTGACCACAGCCAGGCTCAGCGCACACAGAGCCGGAGGGCCAGCCCGCATCCTCCCGCCTCACCTTTCCCAGGCTTCATATGGTTCCCTTCACACAATGCCTCTGCCTTTTCCCTCTCACTGTTTTCTAACTATTAATATAAGAACGGACGCAAAAAAAACTGACCCCCAGAAAAGGTTACCTGCCGACCCAATGAAAAGGTGGGATATAAACTTTCTTAAATCGGGCACTCTTGTTTTCTTAAAACCTGGGAAACTCTCGCCGAAACCGGTTTGGCTCAGTGGTAGAGCATCGGTCTGCGGACTGCAAGGTCCCGGGTTCGATTCCGGTCAAGGGCATGTACCTTGGTTGCAGGCACATCCCTGGCAGGGGGTGTGCAAGAGGTTTCTCATCGACATTTCTAGCTCTCAATCTCTCTCCCTTTCTCTCTGTAAAAAATCAATAAAATATATATTAAAACAAACAAACAAAAACCTGGGAAACTCTGGGCTCCTACTCTTAAGAGAAAGCTCTGGTGCTGTGGCCACAAACTATAGTTTCTGCAGACATGCTTTCTTTGGTTATTGCAATGCCTGAGAAATTTTCTCAAAAAGAAAAATCCATGCCAAGGAGGTGTGGCTCCTAGCATCAACCTGTGAACCAGGAGATCGTGGTTTGATTCCTAGTAAAGGCATGCGCCCGGGTTGTGGACTTGATGCCCAGTAGGGGACAAAAGGAGGCAGGCGATCAATGATTCTCTCTCATCATTGATGTTCCTCTCTCCTCCCCTCCTTTCTGAAATCAATAAAAATATAATTAAAAATAAAGTCAATTTTAAAAAGGTAAATCCAGATTTCTGGACTCATTTTAAAAAATTCAAGACATGATAATACTGGGCTCCCCGTGCCAACATGGCAACAGTCAGTTGGTACAGAGAGCCAC